AACAAGTTCCCAGGAAGTTATACATAAGGATCACCTGGGGATTTTGTTAAACTGTAGATTCTGATTCAGTATATCTGGCGTGGAAGTGAAAATTATCAGCAGAGAACTTGTTAGAAATGCAAATTCTCAGCAGGGGTTGGAAATGGAATGAACTGGCTCAAAGCCCTGGAAGAGTAACACCACAATCTAAAAACAGCTCCCTGCTTTCATCTGCCCACCCTCCCCAGCCTTTTCCATCCTCTGGGATCAGGGAAGCCTGGGCAGTATTTATAAGCCAATGCCAGGAGCTAATTACAGAGATGATATCTGGAAGCAAACTGATTAGGCATGACCAAACTGAAACTCATTGCCTTCCAATCGATTCCGACCCATAGTGATACTATAGGACAGAGTAGAACTGCCCCATAGGGTTTCCAAAGAGCAGCCAGTGGATTCTAACTGCCGACCTTTTAGTTAGCAGCCATAGCTCTTAACCACTTCACTACCAGGGCTCCAATTAGGCATGACATATGAAATTATCCTAGAAGGCTTAATCTTCTAATCATATTTGTATCTAAAGCCTAGTCATGAAGGCCTACACACATGGGCCAGCTTTTCAAATACAAAAATGTCCCTATCACTGTCATCAATGACCTGGAAGGGGGCACTTTGCTTTCTATACCATAGCAATCCATGTAGAGCTAGCCCACCAGTATGGAAAAGGTTCTTAACCTGGAGTGCATGAGGCCCTAAAGGCCTATGGACAGACTTCAGTAAATGAATCCCCTCAGTCTGCATTTGCCACTGTGCGGAGGAATGATCAGTAGCTATTACCAAATTTTTTTACAAAGCTGTAACCCCTAACTTGTTGTAATAGTACACCATGGAGAAGAAGATGGCTCCAAAATATTTTTCCCAGAAAGAATTAAAGTGATTATAGCAAATACTTTGGCCAATAGTATATCTGTACTAGCCCTACTTTCTCCAATTTACAGAGCTTTTTTTTTTTTTTTAATGTTATCCTCATCTTGTATCTCTTAAAAATCCAAAGGTATATAAATTTTTTTTTCAATTTAGAAAAAATATATTGGGCACTCTTGGGAAATGAACCAAGGTACCATGTAAATTATCCTAATTATATACTATTCTATACTTCCAATATCTGAATTGATAGAGCGACAGGACATCTCAGAAGAAAGTGACAATTTCTGTCTGTCTTCCAAATGTTTTGTCTACACCAGTGATTTTCAACCTCGGGCAAATTTGCCCCCCAGGGGACATTTCATAATAGCTGGAGATACTTTTGATTGTCATGACTGGGTGCTACTGGCATCAAGTGAGTAGAGGCCAGGGATGCTGCTAAATATCCTACAATACACAGGGCACTTCCCTGTAACATAGAATGATCTGTCCCAAAATGTCAATAGTGCCAAGGCTGAGAAACCCTATTGTTTCCACCACAGCCTTCATATTGGGCCAATCCTTCCATACCCCATGTCCCAACAAGCCCATACAAGTAACTTGTGGTTCACATTCCAGGTGGGCAATTATTCAGTCTCCTCCCTACTGAACCTTATTTACACTCAGTCTCATCACTGTGGTTCCAAACTCCAACACTCCCCACCAATTGAAATCTTCCTTCCTCCCCAACTGGCATTTTGGGCCTCAATACAAAATGGTTTTTGGTTGTTTTGTTGTTGCTGTGTTGTTGGTTTCTCCAGCATCTCTGGCCTCAGTGTCTTAGAGTTCAGGTTCTATAGTTAGACTTGAACTTGAGTTCCAGCCAGGTCACTTAGTAGTTTCAGGTCATTGTGCAAGTTACTTGTTTCCCTGAACCACAGTTTTCTCCTTTGTAAAACGGAATGCTTGGCACAAATGGTTGGGGCCCAGAGGACCTCCTTCTTCTTTCAGGAAGAGCCATTATTATTGTATTGTTCTCAAGTTACTTAACTCAACCAAACCAAACCCATTGCTATCAAGTTGATTCCAGCTCATAGCAACCCTGTTACTTAGAGCTCATAAAATCCACCTGCATTGCTGTGAGGCTTACTCAAGATGGTATGTAGACGGAGGTTCTCAGCTCTGGCTGGGCCTTAGAAATCAGCAGGGGTGCTTAAATTGATCACAGGCTCTACCTCCTGAGATTCTGATTATTGTCTGGGGTGAGTCTAGACAACCACCCACGTACCTGTTGTTGTCCAATTGATTCTGACGAAAGTTTTCCTGGTGATTCTGTTGTGCATGCCAGGTTGAGAACCACTGGTCCAAGTGTTGAACACCACGCCTGGCACACAATATATGCTGTGGCACACAATACATCGTGGTCACTGTCTGCTCCAGCCCTAAACCCCCTGGACTCCAGCTCTCCACACATCCCACCCCAAGACACCAGAATTTACAGGGTAACAAACATGGGGAATTGGCTGAAATTTTCACTTAGGAATTCCATAGGCATAGATGTAAGTCACAAACCATGGTGTGAAGAGTAAAGCCGTAAGATTTTATTCTTGACTTCAGAATCAGTAAACAAGAGTCCTCTTCTCTGGGAAATGTCCTTTCTATTTACCTTCATTCATAAGAAATTTTCATTTCTCCATGTCTTTCCTATGTCATACACTGGTTAAAGAACAAGGTGTAATAATGGCTGAGTTGCTTTATAGGAAACTCAGACAACCAGTTTTTCTTTTGTTTTTTAATTGTACTTTAGATGAAGGTTTACAGAACAAACTAGCTTCTCATTAAACAGTTAGTACATATATTGTTTATGACATTGGTTAATAACCCCATGGCATGTCAGTACTCTCCCTTCTCGACCTTGGGTTCCCTGTTACCAGCTTTCCTGTCCCCTCCTGCCTTCTAGTCCTTGCCCCTGGGCTGGTGTGCCCCTTTAGTCTCGTTTTGTCCTATGGGTCTGTCTAATCTTTGGCTAAAAGTTGAACCTCAGGAGTGACTTCATTACTGAGCTAAAAGGGTGTCTGAAGGCCATACTCTCAGGGTTTCTTCAGTCTCTGTTAAGCTAGTAAGTCTGGTCTTTTTTTTAGTTAAAATTTTGTTCTACATTTTTCTCCAGCTCTGTCCGGGACCCTCTGTTGTGCTCCCTGTCAGAGCAGTCAGTGGTGGTAGCCAGGCACCATCTAGTTGTACTGGACTCAAGCTGGTAGAGGCCATGGTAGTTGTGGTCTATTAGTCCTTTGGACTAATCTTTCCCTTGTGTCTTTAGTTTTCTTCATTTTCCCTTGCTCCTGAAGGGGTGAGACCAGTGGAGTATCTTAGATGGCCACTCACAGCTTTTAAGACCCCAGATGCTACTCACCAAAGTAGAATGTAGAACATTTTCTTTACAAACTATGTTATGCCAATTGAGCTAGATGTTTCCTGAGATCATGGTCCCCACAGCCCTCAGCCCATTAATTTGGCCGTAAGGGGGTTTGGATTTGTCCATGAAGCTTCAATGACCTCACCAGGAACAAGTTGTGCTGGTGTTACCACTTATCTATTGTCTGTTTAGTGTTTTTCTGCCCCTACCCCTCCCCTCCTTCATAACCATCAAAGATTGTTTCTTTCTGTGTGTAAACCTTTTCATGAGTTTTCATAGTAGTGGTTTCATACAATATTTGTCCTTTTGTTATTGACTTATTTCATTCAGCATAATGCCCTCCAGATTCATCCATGTTGTGAGATGCTTCACAGATTCATCATTGTTCTTCTATTGTTGCATAATATTCCATTGTGTGTATGCACCATAGTTTGTTTATCCATTCATCTGTTGATGAGCATCTAGGTTGTCAAACAACCAGTTTTTAAACAGTTAATCCAATTGAACAAATAATTATTGGGCAAATATGTATTAGGTGTTAGAGTTAAAAGTGGGCTAAAATATAAGACAAATAAACTCTCATGAGCATTGCTACTCTAGAAAAGTATAAGCTGTAATGGACAGAGACTTCACCAAGTACCACAGAGTGTGTGAACTATACATGCGTTATCTCAGCTTACCTCTTTCATATGAGGGATGAGCTATTATTATTACCTTGTTCCCATTACCTAGAGCTTATACAAATGCATCCATTTGGCATGCACAGCCCCCAGACAATCAAACAAATCCTCCTATAGCTGCCTGGTCATTTTCCAACACATTGCATTGGTGCTGGGAAGACGTATAATTCCAAGTGTGTTGCACATAGTTAGACACAGCATAAGAGCTCATAATAACGGCATTCTACATAGATTATCCCATAGGAATATCAGTCCAGCTTTAGAGACAAGAAAATTGAAGCTTGAATATAAAGGTTCGGTAACTTACCAAAGGCCCTGCCGTTAGTAGGTGTTGAAGCTGGAGTTGAACTGTGGCTGTTGCACTTCATGCTCTGCCAAATACCCTATACTTTTCAGAAGTGCCTCAATAGCAAAGAGCTGTTATAGATCAAGTCACCAACAAATAGCCTTATAGATCTCCCGAACTCAAATGTGGTGGCTCCAGATTAAAGTCTCTTTTGCCTTAGTGTCCAGATTCTTCATTCTCAAGTACAACAGAAAGGATTCCCTCTTAGGGCAAATTTCTTCCTAGTGTATCTAAAAGTAAGAAGGTAGAGATTCCCCAGAGTGTTTCCTACCACTTTAATTCAGGAATCTCCAAGCCCTGGCAGGAAATTTGAGCTGCATCCAGAAGCAGAAATTTACCTGATGGCCTTCACCATAGAAATCTGTTGCTACGCCAAATTCATTTCTACCTCCCCCTAACGAAGAGCAGCCAGTGGCTACAGCTATTAACCTGCACTCTAATTAGGTTGGTTTTTATAATGAGAAAAAGAGTGTTGTTCTAATTAATAATTTTCCATCTTTTTCTCAATAAGTGTCCACCAGACAGAGCAATAAGTTCTCCTCGTTACACTGGTTCTATTGCCAAAAAATAACTATACTGTATACCATAAGCAAACGTGGAGCTGGTTAAGTAGAAAGCAGAGCAGAAAGAGTTTTCAGTTGTTACTAATTAGCTACCTTCTCGCCTTACTCTTTCTTAGGTCCCTGGTGCTAAAGTAGTTGGTTCTGACATGGTTGTGATAGTCGAGTTCACCAACCCTTTAACAGAAACCCTGCAAAATGTCTGGATATACCTGGATGGTCCTGGACTGATGAGACCAAAGAGAAAGATGTTCCGGTAAGGGCTGAGGGGCAGGGAGTGAGGAGACAGGGTTGGGTTTGTCGGGAGCTTTCTCTCTCTCTCCCTCTCTCTTTCTCTCTACCTATCTATCTCTATCTCTATCATCTCTATCCCTATCATCTCTATCCCTATCATCTCTATCCCTACCATCTCTATCTCTATCATCTCTATCCCTATAATCTCTATCCCTATCGTCTCTATCCCTATCGTCTCTATCCGTATCGTCTCTATCTCTATCATCTCTATCTCTATCATCTCTATATCTCTATCATCTCTCTCTTTTAGTCCTTCCTAAACTTACAGCTAATCCTCAATGAAAAAGTCTGAGAAGCTACTACCTCCATATTGGCCATTTATGCAGAGCATGGAGTAAAAATGGGTTTGACCCACACTTCCATCATTTAAGCCTTAAAACCATCTTAATGAGGTAAGTGCTATTATTATTTTCCTTTCGTAGCTGAGAAACTCAAGGTTTTGAGAGGTTGACTGGTCTACCCAAGTTATGCAGCTTATAAGAGTACAATAAGGATTCACATTCAAGGTGACTGATTCCAGAACCCAGTGTTCAGTCATTGTGCCATACTACCAGTTACCAGTTGCCATCAAGTCAATTCTGACTCACAGTGACCCAGTGTGAGTCACAGTGGAACTGTGCTCCGTAGGGTTTTCAATGGCTGAATTTTCAGAGTTGATTCTTTCTTTAGAGGCACCTCTGGGTGGACTCAAACCTTCAACCTTTTGGTTAGCAGCTGAGTGAGTTAACCATCTGCATCACCCAGGGATTCTGTCATGCTGCCTCCTCATATCAATTCTACTAATATTTACTGAGTACCTACCATGTGTCAGATATTGTGCCAAAAGGTGCCTCTTTTCATGGGGCCCTTCCTTTACAACCCCACCTCACAGATTTTACCAAGCCAAGCACCTTTCTCTAGAACTGTTGCATTTAGTAGAAAAAGGTTGAGCCTAACAAGGTCTCAACTTGGTTCCCCTTTCAGGGGGCCAAAGACTACCTCAGGCTCTGTAATAATATGAATGAAGCGAAACCTCTTCTTACCCAGCACCATCAGGCTATGCCTAGGTCTCTCCCTCTGTGACATGTATTGACAAAGAGCCCATCACCCAACAAGACAGCCCATTCCATGGCCAGGTAGCTCTAAATGTTATAAAGTACCTTTTCTACCTTTTGGTCCTACCAACAATCCTGATTTTGTCATCTAGATCTGTGCAGAATAAGAGCCATGTCTCTTCCCGCTAACGGCTTGCAAATATTTGAAACAGCTGTCATGCCTTCCTTGAGGCTTCTCTCTTGGGGGTCAAACACCTGTCCTGACTTCGTCCCTCTTGCTTCTAATGGGGTTTGGCTCCCTCCCTCTCCCGTACCCTCCAATTAGTCAGTGCTGCACTTCAAGTCTGACACCCAGAATGGTTCCCAATGTTTGAGGCCTATTACTTTCATTTCTGCTACAAATAACTCCCTGTCAGCATCGATCAATCTAGCACATTTCCTGTGGGGTGACCTTGTAAGACACTGAAAGGAAGGTGGAAGGCTTTGTTGCCTTGGGAAACTGCTTTTTGACTGGATATGTTAGGAATTTTCCCAAAGCCCTCAAGGAAGCTACCCCACTCTGGAATTTACGGAGACCTCACTCACCCCTTCTGGTCCACCTGTAAAAGAGAATTTGCCCACTGAGGGTTCTCTGCATTTCTTGCAAATTACCATAGTGTTCACAGCTTCTGCCTCACCATCTAAGAGTTGCCTAATGCTGGCTGATGCAATCAACAACAGAGAAAATAATCTGAGTACTTTAAAAAACAATGCAACCACGAAACATGACAACCTTCCTGTGCTAATAGGAAAGTTGCAGGAAAAGAGAATTAAATTAGGAATCAACCCCAGCTAGAGGGAGAGGTCAGCAGAGATAGCCCTGCTTTCGTCAGAAACGACAGTCTCACCCGCCCATTCTCACACCTTCCCACTCTAATCAGATGCAAGATTCGCTCAGGCAAAGTGAAACATGTTTCTTCTTCCAAACAGCCCCCTGCTGTATCCAATTTTTCCTTCTCAAACGGTACACCACAAGCTGCAGCTTTGCAAGTCTGGCAACCTCCAGCTACCTTTGCACCTCGGTTGTACCAAGGTGTAAAGATTCAAAAATGCTACCTTGATCACATGCCAGCCCATGAAAAGCGGCACCCTGTGTTTTAGAGAAAGATGACTCGTCACACAGGGCAATGGCCCACCATTTGGGAGGTATAGGACTTAAAGCAGGTGGAGTCTCCTGGGCTGTGCTTATTGTTAATATTTGACATCTCCAGTATGAGAAAAAGTGGCTTTTTTTCAGTTAAATGACAGAAGTCAGTCCCTACATGGACATAGGCAAATGTCCCACCCATACTGTGGTTTAAAGTACTATTTGTAGTTAAGACCAAAACACAGGTCTGTAGCAGAGAAGTCAGAAAGAGATTTTCAGTCACTTATGGGAACCCAGATCCAGGATGGAATCTCTCCCAGGCAATGGAAGCTCTATATCTCAGAACCAGTTGCCGTGGAGTCAACTCCAATTCATGGCAACCCCATGTGTGTCAGAGTAGAAATGTGCTCCACAGGGTTTTCAATGGCTGACTTTTTGGAAATAGATCACCAGGTCTTTCTTCCGAGGTCCTTCTAGGTAGACTCAAACCTCCAACCTTTTAGTTAGCAGCTGAGCACGGTACTGTTTGTACCACCCAGTGACTCTTATTTCTCAGAGACTGTCAAAAATTGGAAACAGCATGAAATAGAAAATATATGTCTTAGGCTGGGTTCTCTATAGAGGCAAGACCCGTGAAGCATATATATATATATATATATATATTTATCTCAAGGAAATAGCTCATGAGGTTGTAGAGGCTGGCAAGTCCCAAGTCCATGGGTCAGGCATTAGGCTGGAGGCTTCTCTAGGCTCACGTATCTGCAGGGGATGACAAACCCATGATCGGCAGGTCAGACGGCAGGCCGCTCCTCATTCATGGGCTGTGGAAGCTGATGAATCCAAGATCAGCTGGCAAGATGGCAGGCTGCTGGCACAAGTCCCAAGAACTAAAGGTTAGGTGATGATGAGCCAGATGCAGGATCCAGAGCAAGCAAGCAAATTTTGCCAGAACATCCATATATATATATTGGATGCAGGCCACACCCCTAAGGATACTCCCCTTACAACTGATTGGCTGATCACAACAGATCACATCATGGAGGATGATTACATCATTACATAACTGCCAAACTACATCATTATATAACTGTCAAGCCACTGAGAATTATGGCCCAGCTAAGTTGACACACAACCTTAACCATCACAATATGTTATGTAGGCTGGATGAGGGACTTTGGAGCCTGCCTCACTTGCTCAGTGTCCTCCTGCCTCAGGCACACACTTTCACAGCCAAGACCTGGGCCAGCCAGCAGCCCCTCCATCTCGTCAGATACTTAGAAACACTTCACTGTACTTTGTGCTGCTGAGATCTGATCAAAGAGGGACAGATCCACATAAAACTCGGACCCCTAAAGGTACAATTCTATAGAGTCAGAACACTTTTCAAGACTGTATTCCTTTCTAGGGTACACATCTTGAGTAGTCAAAGAAATCATCACCCCCACCTGCCCACCACACTCCCTTCCAGGGACCCATAAGTGAGGGGATCTCATGCCCAAAGCACTGGGCCTGGGCAGGCAGAGCTGGTGAGCAGGAAGTTGAAACCAGGAAGAGGAAGAGTCGTGTAGGTCTGGTTTCTTGCTCAGGGTTCAAGCCACCTGTGCTCTGAAATGCCTGATGTCCCTGCTCCCCCCTGCCTCCTGCCTGCCTCAGATGCTCCCAGATTATGCTGCCATAGGCACTCAGCTTTTATGTTTCTGCGTTTGATACTTCCAGAACATCGAATAATTTATCTTCCAGATTCACTTTTCTCTTTAAAAAATAATTAGGTTCAGTGAGTTATTTCAAGAGAAAAATTCCGTGACTTTGTGAATTTGGTTTAAATTTTCAGTTTCCAGAGGAGGACAGAGATGGAGGTTTAGACACACAGAGGACAGACCCTGGAAGTTGCAGTTTATTGTAATAATAATCCCATTTGCCTGCATGCATTCAAGATGATGAATGGCCAGTATGGCCTGATGGCTCAGCACATTACTGAGAATCATTCATCACAACATCTATCCCCAGGCAAAAAGGATTATTCCAATATTACCCACTTGCCAAATATGGGCAAATAGTTTTATTCTTCTCTCTTTCTGTATGTATTTATGTTGGCAAATGCACATGTAGACATGTACCTGTTTCTTCACATGTGTGTTCATCTGTGGGTAAACACACACATAGACATGTGTCTGTATTTTCACATGGGTATGTATCTGAAGGAAAATGCACACATAGATATGCATCTGTATCTTTGCATGCCTACGTATGTATCTGTTAGTAAACACACACATAGATATGTACCTTTCTATCTTCATGTGTGTATTTCTCTGTCAGTAAATGCACATGTAGACATGTGTCTATATTTTCACATGTGTGTCTGTTGGTAAGTGCACACATAGACATGTATCTGTATCTTCATGTGTATGCTTTTCTACAGGTAAATGTACACGTAGGTGCATCTGTATCTTCATGTATGACCGTCTACATATGTGTGCATCAGCATGTGGAGTTTTATGAGTAAGAGCAAATAACGAGGTTAAGGTCAAGGATTTAGTTTCTGTTTGAGGTAGTTACGTACCTGACATGGTCCAGGCCAAACCCCTAAACAGGGCAACTATTTCACAAAGTGTTTCTTGGGGGAGCCAGGAATGAGAATGAATGAATTGGGGTAAAGACAGCACAACTGTTGGGAAATACCATAAAACTTTTGTTTATGTTGAATTCATCATTGTAGATTAAGGATAGATAATTGTTTCTCTGCATATAGGCAGGAGGAGCTTACCTTCTTCAATTATTTTGCAAAGAGTCAGGCAAACAGCA